AAGGGAATCTTACTCACCACTTCATTAAAGACTCTAGGATGTAGTCCATCGAGACCTGAACATTGATCAGCCCATAGCTCTAGTGATTAGGAGTTTGCTGAGTCCTCCTTCCTTTCCATTTCCTGATTTTTCACTGCTTCTAGGATACTACAAGAATCCTCTCCAGTAACTATCCTCTATAGCGAAGGCTGATGCAAAGCACCTGTTCAATTCATCTTTCATTTCCTTATTTTTCATTCTTAATTCTCTAGACTGACATTCTAAAGGACTACCTTCACTTTGTTAACTCTTCTCCTTAAATATTTAGAGAATGTCTTACTACTTATTTTTATATTTCTGGCCAACTATCTACCATATTCTCTTTCTCTCTCTTTATTAAATTTTTTTCACAATTATATATTTCACGCAATTATATGCATTTTCATTTAGTTTGACACGGTCTTTGACATTTTTAGTTAACTATCCCTCGGTCCATCCCTTGGAATTTTACTAACTTGCTGAAATCTCTCTTCAGTGTATTGTGAAATATCCCTGTAAATGTCTACCACTGAATCTCTATTGATATAAAACTTCCTTAATATTTAAGTAACAACTTTCCTGTCATTTAATGCTCAGTGACATTGAAAAGAGTTCAGCAGCAAGTAAAATATAATTGTGATTCTCCTTGAAGCAAAAAAAGAGAAACAGGGGACATTTAATCAAAGAACAAAAGAACAAAGAAAATTACAGAGATAGTAGGAACTGCAGATGCTGGAGAATCCGAGACAACAAGGTGCAGGGCTGGATGAACACAGCAGGCCAAGCAGCATCATAGGAGCAGAGAGGCTGACGTTTCGGGCCGAGACCCTTCATCAGAAAAGGGGGAGGGGAAGGGGGTTTTGAAATAAATAGGGAGAGAGTGGGAGGCGGATAGAGGAGAGGATAGGTGGAGAGGAAACAAACAGGTCGAAGAGGCGGGGATGGAGCCAGGAAAGGTGAGTGTAGGTAGGGAGTTAGGAAGGGGATAGGTCAGTCCAGGGAGGACGGACAGGTCAAGGGGGCGGGATGAGGTTGGTCGGTAGGAGATGGAGGTGCGGCTTGAGGTGGGAGGAGGGGATAGGTGGGAGGAAGAACAGGTTAGGGAGGCAGGGACGAGTTGGACTGGTTTTGGGATGCGGTGGGGGGAGGGGAGATTTTGAAACTTGTGAAATCCACATTGATACCATTGGGCTGCAGGGTTCCCAAGCGGAATATGAGTTGCTGTTCCTGCAACCTTCGGGTGGCATCGTTGTGGCACTGCAGGAGGCCCAGGATGGACATGTCGTCTGAGGAATGGGAGGGGGAGTTGAAATGGTTCGCGACTGGGAGGTGCAGTTGTTTATTGCGAACCGAGCGTAGGTGTTCTGCAAAGCGGTCCCTGAGTCTCCGCTTGGTTTCCCCGATGTAGAGGAAGCCACACCGGGTACAGCGGATGCAGTATACCACATTGGCAGATGTGCAGGTGAACATCTGCTTGATGTGGAAAGTCTTCTTGGGGCCTGGGATGGGGGTGAGGGAGGAGGTATGGGGGCAGGTGTAGCACTTCCTGCGGTTGCAGGGAAAAGTGCCGGGTGTGGTGGAGCTGGAGGGGAGTGTGGAGCGGACAAGGGAGTCACGGAGAGAGTTGTCCCTCCGGAAAGCAGATAAGGGTGGGGAGGGAAAGATGTCTTTGGTGGTGGGGTTGGATTGCAGATGGCGGAAGTGTCGGAGGATGATGCGTTGGATCCGGAGGTTGTGGGGTGGTACGTGAGGACGAGGGGGATTCTTTTTTGGTTCTTATTGCGTGGACGGGGTGTGAGGGATGAGGTGCGGGAGATGTGGGAGACACGGTTGAGGGCGTTCTCGACCACCGAGGAGGGGAAGTTACGGTCCTTGAAAAACGAGGACAACTGAGATGTACGGGAGTGGAATGCCTCATCCTGGGAGCAGATGCGGCGGAGGTGAAGGAATTGGGAATAGGGGATAGCATTTTTGCAGGAAGGTGGGTGGGAGGAGGAGTATTCTAGGTAGCTGTGGGAGTCGGTGGGCTTGAAATGAATATCGGTTTCTAGGTGGTTGCCCGATATGGAGACGGAGAGGTCCAGGAAGGGGAGAGAGGTGTTAGAGATGGTCCAGGTAAACTTAAGGTTGGGGTGGAAGGTGTTAGTGAAGTGTATGAACTGTTCGAGCTCCTCGTGGGAGCACGAGGCGGCGCCGATACAGTCATCAATGTAACGGAGGAAGAGGTGGGGTTTAGGGCCGGTGTAGGTACGGAAGAGGAATTGTTCCACGTAACCTACAAAGAGGCAGGCGTAGCTTGGGCCCATGCGGGTACCCATGGCTACCCCCTTTGTCTGTAGGAAGTGGGAGGAATTGAAAGAGAAGTTGTTGAGTGTGAGGACGAGTTCGGCTAAGCGGATGAGGGTATCAGTGGAGGGGGACTGGTCGGGCCTGCGGGACAGGAAGAAGCGGAGGGCCTTAAGGCCATCTGCATGGGGAATGCAGGTGTAGAGGGACTGGACGTCCATGGTAAAGATGAGGTGTTGGGGACCGGGGAA